AGGAAGACACCCCACGAACGCCTTGCGTGACGCCCTCCAGAGTGCCTGCAGGAAGCCACATGAAGCCATTTCCCAACGGTCAGAGGGTCTACCCTCTCTGCAGACTTTAATGAGTTCAGGTCATCTGAGTTATCGACATAGATCTGTAGACGCAGCACTTGTTCAGTAAAGCTACTATTACTTTGAGATAGGATTCACTCACAAAATGGTAGGGTCTCGTTATCTGAGCACGAAACTCAGAAACTTCCTCTACAGCTTGGTATTGCAGGAAGAATTTCACCGTGCTTGTAGACGGTCCCGGGATCTCCATTTGCACCAATAACACAGAGTTGTCGTCTAGATCGTTGTTCCAGCCATATTGGATGATGTCCATAGCTGGAGGGATGTCGGAGGCCATCTTGGAGGTCGAGTCGGGGTATTCGATCGATGACACTGTCAGCGGGCCCTGAGCATTAAGAGCGACAGGGTCCTGATGGTCTCCGATGCGGACCACAACAGTGAGCTTTCCCGTGGTGGTCATGGAAGTCATTGGTGGCGATAGCGGAGGAATGTTTCCAGAGCAGAGGAATCCCAAGTAAAACCGGATGTAGCCTGGCATGAGTCTTTCTTAAAGACCTGGGGGTGAAGCAGGATGAAGGGACCGTGAGATGACGGACATGAGATAAACGCATGTCGCATACATGCTTCCCGTCGGCCCATCAGATAAGGGACAAAGCTTCCGACACCTTCTCCCGCAGTGCTTTTTCCATGGATGTTCCATGAATTCAATAGTGAACCGTCCCATGCTACTGTTTCGGGGGAAATAACTCTGACAACCGGCCACCTTCACCGCCATGGGGAACAACGTGGGATTCGTATGAGACCTGCGGACCTGCGCCAGCCGTACCCTCGGGGTGTGGCGTAGAGGAGCCCAGAGTTCTTGTCCATGGTCGTATTAACAGCGAGGTGCGATCGCCGAGCCCGTCACGCGAACACCTTTGCTATCAACCGACGACCTTGATGCAAAGTTCTTTACCGTGGCTGTTTGCCGTCAGACGTCATTGTGCAGGTCCCAGCACGTACATAACTGCCTGACCCGCCCTCTGAGACCGCTTCGGCGGAGGAAGACGAAGGTATGATCAGGTGTACACTATGCCGTACGCGCTCCATGTTCATCCGTTGCTGCCCCCACAGTCGAAGCGGCCATCTGTGCGCCCCCTCCGCTCCCCCAAGGCCCATTGTTGGCAGAAGACGCAGGTATGCGGGCACATTGCCAAGCATGTGCTTTCACTTACGCCGCGCAAACAGTAGGTCAGGCATTGCAAGCGCACGCCTTCCACGATCCTACAACAAGGCCTCCGTGGCTCCTCGCGGGTTGCTCTCTTTCATTGTCTGCCTTGCGGGTGTCTTTCGATTCAAGATGAAGGTTCCTCGATCTTTCATGCGTTCCGGTGAAGGAGATATCGACGATAACGCCGGACTGTCAAATATCGCGGAAGGACGGCTCAGACCCAGCAGGGGCAAGAAATCCACGAACTCAGCGGGCCCTCCTGTGGTTGCTGGATTTCCAGGAAGCACCCTGGTGCAGAAAGGATTGTTCGACAAGAAGTACGCAAACTCGTTTTACGAAGCATTCAATCTCGAGGAACTGTCGAGCGCGGGGTCTGGCGCAGGATTTCCCGAGCCTCTTGAGACCAGTCGCGATGATGATCCCTTCTCGGGGGTTTCTCCTTCTCGCACTCCGCACCCAGAAAGGGTCGCTTCGCCTCTACACTTCCCAGTCGCGGAGGAGCAGGACTTCGTGGCGCTAGACAAGGCGCGATACGCGCGGAAGAAAGAAAACCAATGGCGACGGTGGCGAACCGTCACCGTACCCGACTTGGTGGAGCCATATATGGAATACGTACGGGCAACTGAGCATATGACCACGGAGGCCCCTCGCCCACCGAAATGTATGTGTGTTGGGCGCCAGAGGAGAGTCGAGGTCTTGGCGATTGTAAGCGCGGCTTTCTATCTCCCGGATTTGCATATAGACAAACCTGTAGGACTCAAACATATGAAGATCCCGATATGCGAGTGTATGTCTGCGGCAAGACGTCTACTGGCTCATGGTCTATTCCCTTGCGCGCCTCAAGCACCCTCGGTAGCGTTCGATATGAACATGCTGGAACTCGTGGCTACCCTCTTTGTGAACATCTCGCCGAATGTTACGGCTTTAGCCGCTACGTTAGAGTCCTTCTTGAGTGTACGACAATACAAGGTTACGTCGAGGGTTAGTAAAGTATTTCTACCGAAAGGGCTTCATGGTCTCTGAATGTCTGACAAACAGGACTCACTGCGAAGGCGATTCGGTAACTCCCTCACTTGGTACAACTACTTGATTGACACGGTACGGCACCGGACATCAGAAGCGGTGGAACGGTCAAGGCATGCCCTCTCGGATCCGAGAAAGTGTGCGGCCGGAGAACCCAAGAGTGTGTTCAGTTTGTGTTCGCAATAAAATGGAGAAACTCACGAAACCTTGAAGGATCCGCTGGCATGGAATGTTTGACACAAGACAGAGAGGATAGGCACCATTCCTGTCCGGGACAATCCGATATTAACGTCCCAGATGGCGAACCGTGTGACGGGCAAGTTCTCACCGGCTGTGTTTCCGTCGAGTGGGCCCTTCACAGTGATGCTGTTGACAACCGCAATTGTTGAGCCCCTGGTAGTGAAGTCCCAAAGAGTACGTCCAACTTGTGCTTGCAGTTGAACTGGATAAACTCACGAACCATCGAAGGATCCTCTGGCTTGACATGTTTGATGCAAGATGAAGACAACGAGCATCATCGCCACCCAAGACAATCGGACTTTGGTGTCCCGGAGGGGGCGTCTTGCAACGGTCAAGCTCGCACCTGGGGTGTTTCCACAGACCAGAGTCGAGACGGCAACCACGATGGCCAACGCGACTATCGGGCTCGCAGAGAGGAAGGCGATCGTGTCAGCGATTACTTACGATCTCGCTGTATACTATGTTTCGGTGGAAGCGGACGAGAGACGGAGCCACTGAGGTGAGTCAAACTAATGTGCACGTCTCGTCTGCGACTAACTGCTGTGCTGATAGTGTGGATGCTATCATTTGTCTAGATGCTTGTTTTACGCAAAAGCGACGCGCGACTGGGCGACGCGACCCAGAGCAGCACCATCCAGCGTCCGTGTTCCTTCAGGAGTTTGAGATCAAAGCTATGGAACGCATTATGGCAGAGAAGAAGCGACCTAAACGGACGCAAAAGGGATCCAATAACGCCTCAGCAGGCGTTACGACCAGTCCCCGAAACAAAGCCAAGAAACGGGATCTCGCAGAGGCGGTCGAAGACGAAGTCGAGGAAAAATGTGAGGGTCCAATCAAGCTGCCCAATTCCGTCCTCGACGGTTGCGAATCCTCATTCAAGGCCGCGGACGAAGCGCGCAAGAAGGCGAGCACTCAATTCTTCGACGACACTGCGCTTATGGCTCTCGTATGCCGTCATGATCGCGTTCTCTGGCTTGCGAACATGACCAGCGCAGGCGAACGTCAGCATTATGCCATTGCACTCCTTGACAAGTTCTTCCGCCACGTGCCGGCAACATTCCGTGCGGGTGTGTTATACGACATAGGCTGTCAGTTGCATCGAAGCTGTTATAAGTGGGACCTCCTACCAGATTACCGCGACCGCATAGTGTTCACGATCTCGGTGTTCCACGCGTTTGGCCACCAATGGCTATGTCAAATCATATACCACCCGCGAAAGTGTGCGTGTTTTGGCCTTTCAGATGGAGAAGGATGCGAGTGCCTCTGGAGCGCACTGGACCACCTCGTGGCCGGGCTGCGTGTTAGCGGTGTAAGTGATTATCCGCCTGAACGAAGAAGAGATCACTGACGGAATTGTGAAGTACTTTCAACGGTTGTATGTGATCAACTCTCAAATACACCATCTGGATGGGCTACACCGGCGTGGAATCGCTGAATGCTTGTACGCAAGTACGAGCGTGCCGCTTCTCGATGGATCGAAGCTCAGATGGTCTTCAAAA